ATAGCCTAATGATAATATTATAATAATAAAAATAATAATAATAATAAAAGTGGTTTAATATATTACAGAATTTCATATCTCCCTTTTCAGCCATTCTATTTTTTATCTCTATGATTGGTTGATTGATTTGTGGTTTTCTATATCCGAATTGCCCGAAACAATATGCCGTTTTTATATAAAGTGGTTCTTCATTACTGTAATGAAAATTTATTTCATATTCGTAAATTTTACATACAATATTGTATTGCCATAATGTGCGACCTTAAAACTTTGATTAATTTAAGCAGTTTTCCTTAAAGGCGAAATTTTCCGTCGAAAAAGTGATTCCACTTTGTCAGAGAATTATTTGAAAATATAAGCATAGCTATTTCCTCAACGCCAGTTTATTTTTAATCAACTTCGGCCCTGTCAAGAAAAAAAGTGAGGACTCATGATGCTTGGCCTTAGTGAAAATAATATATCTCTTGAGCATTCTTAACTGAGGTTGCTTATTAGTAAATTTAAATTTTATTAAATTTTTCACCAGGTATTTGACGACATTACTTGGCAACAGAAGCAGAGATGTATAGATCTGTACAATTCGAATTTTTTAGTCTTAGGTTTGGTCTTTGTGAGGAAATCGAACCAATAATGCTCGGCAATCATCCTTGTCCTTGTCTTTCTGGAATGAAATTGCTTTTTATTTTTTGATACAACTAAAAAATTGTCGTACATTAGATAACAAAGATTAGAATGGCCTTCTGTTCGAATAACCATCACTGTTGTTTTTGTGATTATAATGATACTCATTCACGATTCCTTTAAAAAACAACGAGCAAATTAAAAAGTGTCATTTATAGACTATTAAATTACTATAAAATTTGTATTAAAATATGATTCTTTGTCCTTCTACTTGGAAACTCTCTTTAAAACCATGAATTCGCAATATTATTTTTAAAACTTTTACATTTGTAATCTCAACTTTCCCTAGAATTATGATCATTCTAATCGTTTTCTGAAATTTCTAACTTCAGTAAAATGGAACTTGTTTCATCGCTTGGCATGGCTATCAAAAAGGTCTGAGCTTCTCATTTTCGCGTTAAAGTTAGATTATAATTTATAATTCTTCATAAGAATTAAATATATTATAATTCAACGTAAGGAAAAACCTTAGCCATATTTAATTATAGCTTACGATGATCAATAGTGTGGATTTGGTCAAATGTCATAGAGTTGTGATAATTTATGTCTATTTTCAATTTGTATTTGTATAAAATTTGTTGAATTTGTATAAAAATATGATTCTTTGTCCTTCTACTTGGAACCATGACTCTATTTCTATTTTTCTTTGAAACCATGACTCTAACTCTAGACTCAAATAAATTATTTCAAATAACACCGATGTAATATCAGAAAACAGAAAATTTCAAATATGAAGATAATCGAAGAACGATACTCTAACTAGAACATCAGTTGAGGACTGAAGTACGAATGAGTTACCAGCACCACATTTAATTTATTCATGCCAAAACATGGACCATGGCACATAAAATGATAGTAATAATAGTGGTTATGAAATGGTAATGTTTAAGCAATGCACCACTTTAATGAACATTTTATAATATATATATAAAATATATAATATATTGCAGTAATAAAAATCAGAAATAAATTAAGCTGCAAAAAATCTGTTAGTTTGCTTATGAAAATTTTGCATGACACCGTAAAAACGAATGTCTTACATAAAATGTTGGAAAATTGATGAATGTGGATGATATGAAGGTCATACGGCAATGTAATAATGCTAATTGATGTTCGTTGATCAATATCTGGCAAAGATTTTGGGATTGACCTTTCGCTCGACCTTGCGTAATCAAGCCAATTTGAATAATGAAACTCGTCAGTATACATTTCCCACTTTGGCGTTTTTGGAAATAACAGTTGGGTACATTTAATTATATCCCCTTTAAAGAATATGCCAGTAGCAAATCTAATTTAGTCTTTGGCGTTATTATGCGTTATCTTTTCGTTACGGCTACCACAAACAAAAGGACATTCAATTATAAGAGCAAATTAGTTAAATTAGTATGAATAAGGTCAGCGGTGTTTGATTTTTCAAAGAAATTAGGCTTTTATTCGCTTTAACGCTACTGCTTTTCATCTAAGATTTTCCTTTTATTCCGATAATTTTCTATGAACATTTGCAATGCGAATCAATCTTAAGATTATTATTTATAATGCATGTGAATATGAAATTGAAATTAAATTTTGAAAATATTGATATCGAATAAATGATTTTGATCAACGGCTTTTACAGTGCGAAAGTTCTAAAAAATTGGTCATCCGATTCTATGCCTTTGACCGGAGTGAATCTACAAAAAATGAAAACGAAATCTCAGATGCAGGAAAGCTACATGTGCTTTCATGACTCCTCAAATGACTCCCTGGCCCTATCCTAATAGCCAATGGGATCGGCCAAATCAGGAATGGTGAGTGCTGCTAGAAGAAGACGAAAAATTCAATATTAAAATATGCATGATCATTTAAAAGATTCATTTTACCAACAAAGTTTTCATTTTTTTCTCTTAGCTTTTACCTTATACTTTTTAAAAATTTTTCGAATTTGTTTCGAATTGAATCAAAAGTAAAAAATAAAAAATTATTTGTAAAGAAAGAGTTAAATCTGAAATAACTCAGAAGATTTTATGCTTTTAGTTTTAGAAATCGCGATAATTCCATTTATAAGGATCAGGCAGCAGTAATTTCTTTATTGCAGATATGCATTTAAAAAATTCAAGAATTGATGATTGCCAGCACTTCTGAGTTACTAAGTGGCCATTCAACTCGATTTATTCAGGCAGTAGGAATTTACGCTTCACTGACTGAAAATTTGCTAAATGCAATTGCGACTTTTACTTTTGGCCATTTCCCAAATAAGATTTCCTTAAATAGTAAAGAGCTGATTAGCAGCCATACATTTGTTTCATATATATAAACATTCTGTTAAATATTTTTCTACTAAAGTTTTGGAAAAGAAGGGTTTTTAAAATGCAAAGCAAATGCGAAATTAACCAAAATTCGCATTTTTTTCGCTGGAATACTACTTATTCATGCACGTAAGAATCTTTTATTATCCTTATCATTGGTTATCATCAACATTTATTGCAATTAATTAGTTATACAATACTGACGAATATTTTGAAGGTTATTAAGGTAGCAGAATTAAAATAAAATCGAATGAACAAAGATATAACTTTTTTTTTCTAATAATTTTTTGTTTAAATATTCAAATATTTTAAATAATTATTCGAATCGTCATTTTTGCTTGCATTTGCGTTAGAAAAGATGGGCGATGAAAAATTTCGAATTTCTCAATTGCACATTTTCGGTTTTTAAAGCAGTCAGTTGAAATATATGCCAATTAAATATAAACGAATTTGCTCATTTTCATTTTTAATCATTTTATTGTATCCATTGCTTCTAACATATGTAAGCGTATGGATTTACTGTGCGTCGTTATGAGTAACCAAAACTGCTATTCTTGCTTCTCTCATTTAACGATTAGCAATGATTATGTAATTTTCGCTTTATCTGTCGTTATTTGATCGGAATTCATTTTCTAACTGTGGCGACTATGAAGGAGATTTGTTTGGAAATTCACAAATGTAATTAGAGGATATGTCGAGAGAGCTGATGAATGATAGATGTTATTGCATCTTAAAAGCTTCAGCTTCAGCTTCTGTTATCTCCACAATTCTAAAATATGGGGAAAGTCAGCCTTCAGTACCTGTTCACCTGTTCATTAACAGATTTCCACTTTTCACCAGATTTCTCCACTTTATTAGCCAATTCAAAAAATTTAAAATTTTCCAAGGCTCGTCAGTCAGTCATTGCATTCTTCGCAAAAATATATTTATTTGCATGAACTCGACAATAACTTGACAGAATCCACTTCATCAAAATCCACTTTCAATCCTTTAGAGCAACTATTTGATATTCTTCGAAATAATAATTGGATATCTGTCATTAGCACTTTTTACTCGATCATTCATCGCTGTCCACATCGGATACAAACAACATATGCTCATAACTAATTACATTAATTTCTCTAAACCTATTGACCATTCTTCTTAATTAACTAATTTAGCCAACCGTATTACATTCACGAACATAATGGTTCAATAAAAATAATGGTTCAATTCAAATTTAAAAGCTAGAAATCTTAAATTTCTACAGCCGAATTTAGATGAACAATTGTGAATTGAGAAAAGCTCAAATTTTTACTGTAAGAAATTGGTAAGCAAATTTTTAAATTGTTATAAATATAACAAAAAAAAGAAATATATAATTGGAGAGAACTTGGGAGCAAAAATATCGTTATCGTAATATCAGAAAACTAATTTTTTGCCCACGAAAATCTTAAGAAAACTACTTTTCATGCCATTTAGCTAATCCAGAAATTCAATATCCACAATTCTTATTACTACTGCTATTTGATTTCTGTTTGATTCCATTTGTTTTAGTTCCAAAGAATTTTTTTTGATATCTTTAACAAATTTCTAAATTTTTTGGAAACAATTATATATCAAATCCAGTAAAAAATATCGATCTTTAGTAAAAGCACATCGATCGTGATCGCGAAAATTAATCAGTAATAGAGAAGAATTTATAACTAAAAAAAGCAAAAATTTGTGGCAGCCATTTAATTTAATAGATGAATCCAGAATACTCGGCGTTGCAGGGTTTTTTCGCTTAAATAGCTCATATCTATTCGAAAATACTCACTCCACTTCTAGGACAATTTTTTATAGATTCAGCTTTCTATCGTATTGCGCATCTATCAAGAAAAAATATCTTTAATATCAAAAATTTTCTCTTACTTTATGCGAATTTAAAAGCTAAATTCCAGGAGCAATTGACTTTGTGGTTATTTATTTAAAATTGAGAGCAACACTTTTTTGTTTCATGTGGAATAACATTCGGAATTCATCGCACCCTTAGAAAATACTTAAATAATTATTTTATTGCCCAGTTTGTATCGTTTTTTGTGTATGCGTAGCACGTTCATCTCCATCTTTATTAATTAGCGATGTCACCACGTTTGCACCAACGCCCCAAGTATTTTCGCCATCGAAGATTAACGATTCAGGAGGATTGTGAATACCGCCTTGATCTCTTGCGTAAATCTACAAATATAAATCTCATCTACAATTATAAATGCTATTTTTTAAAACGAGAATTTAAAATATGAAAATATATAAATAAAAGCCGTGCTGCATAAATAAAAGATGTTTACCTTCATTGTGCGACCAGCTTTTAGAACAGTATTTAGCGGAATTGTATAAACTATTTCACGACGATTATCCAGTTTTCGCTTCAGCTTATGCTCACCAAGATTTTCATCCTGTTAAGCAAAATTCAAGTTTTTTACCGCTTAAAAGATAATAGCACTTCCAAAAGCGTTTTAAATCTTAAATCTCGAGAAAATTGCTTACCTTGCTTCTATGTGTATTTTCAAGCATTATGAATTTTCCATTTGGATCACATTCTGAGATTGTTACATTGCCTTTTGCAGAGCGTTGGAAGGTAGTCTTCGTTGAAACTTCACCACGAACACTACGAGTTGAATCCGTATCTTCTTGCTGTTGGAGCGAATGAGTTTTGACGACCTGTTCAACCATTTGACGCAAGCCAACTCTATAAAGGTAATTAATTTAAAGATACTTTAAGCTGCCATTGGTCTTTTGTATAGCGTAAAATTTCTAACATAACTTCAGAATCAGAATCGAATCTAAATCACCTGCTTTCTTCTCCCTCAAGCATTTTTCTATAAATCGCAATTTCGGCATCCAACATCTGTTTTGTATCAAGCAAAGCTTGAAGTTCTGCAACCAATGTTTGACATTCTTCACGCATTCTACGTAATGTAGCATCCCGATCATTGAGCGCCGCTTCGTACTGTCTTTGGTCATCATTAAGCTACAAAATGCAAAATTATTAAGTTAGTTGATTATCAACCTGTAAAAAGATCCGATAGTATATTGCCTTAAATTTACCACTGAAAACGGCAAGTACCTGATAATTAAGGTTTTGGACTTCTTTCTCCAGCAAAGCATTTTTGGCCTCAAGATCGCCTAGTTTTCCACGAAGATCACCAATATTGTCGCGCATACGTTTAACTTCTTCTCGTTGATAGCTGGCTTCCATATTGGCGCGATTCGCTGAACCTTGTACTTCTGACACCTAAAACTTGAAAGTAAAATTCATCGAAAAACTTTATTCTAAAACAATTTGTTCAAGAAAATCTCTTAGAAGATAAAAGTTTGAAAAAGAAATAAACCTTGAGTTTATACCAGCTTTCCATATCTTGTTTGCCTTGTTTAGCAATGTAATCATATTCATCTTTGATATCTCTAATAGCAAGAGCAAGCTCATTTTTAAAGAATTCACGAGTGTCTGCAGGCGCTTGAGCTAGTAGTGCCTGCAGCTCTTTGACTTCTTGTTCATGAACACGACGCAAGAATTCTAATTCTTCCATTAGAGTTTGTACTTGATTTTGAAAATCTATACGCCCAAGAGTTTCTTCATCGAGATCCTTAAAATTCGTTTTGAAATCTTCAGAAAAAATACTCTTAAATTCAAAAGATTTTATGGAGATAATTGTATCTATTGTTCATAGCTGTAGTTTATACATAAATATTATAAATATTAATAGCACAAAATAGATAGCCTTATATTGCCATATTATATTGAAACGTTGTAGGTTATAAGTATTGTGGATATAAATATGGCTGAGCATTGTATAGATAATCATTTTTTAGCAACTGATAAGAATAAATTATCATTAAAAAACCTGTGGATGCTGGAGACCACTCCAAATGCCTATCTCATACTATTAATAGCCAGTGAAGAGAAGGTTGGTGTATGGCTAACCACTTTGTTATTGATATTCTTCAAAAAAATGATTTCAATATGCTAACATTTCTCGCTTTTTGAAGCTCTTCCCAAATTCTGGCATTATCGCCATTAAGACGCTTTTCTTCTTCAGTAAGTTGACGCCAACGAGCTCTAAGCATTTCTAATTCGCTCTGTGCATCATCAATCGCATGTTGCCATTGATTTATCTTCTCGCGATCATTTTCACGCCGATGTTGTACATCTTCATATCTGAATTCCGCACATCTTTTATATGATGCCATAGCAAACAATAGCAATTTAAAAATCCCAAGTAGCAAGCAAAAAAAGTTTGCTTGAAAAATCATCGCTTTAAAAATTTTTCACTTCTATTTGAACACTTATTTGAACGAACCAGTGTAATTCAATTTTTATTGAAAATATTGAAAATCCATCGTTTTTTTAAGTTTTGACCTTAAATTTTTCACAGACAAAAAGTTCGCGAAATTTCGACCGATTTCATTCCATTTTTTTTCATAATATTTTTAGAAAATTTCAGATAATCATTTTTAGAATAACAATTAATTCAATCCACATTGAACAGTTTCTTAAACCTCGGTTTGTTTTTATAATCGATGTAAAAGTATCAATTATTTTTATTAGGATGATGGCTAAACGAAAATAATAAGTTTTTATCGTGCCCTATATAGGAAACAGGTTGTTTAATAGCAAACAGTAAATAATTCATGCGTGAAGAAATTTTTCGACTCATCGCTAATTTCGGATGGAAGCACTGGTACTTCTCTCTTTTCATGTCCAAATAGAAATGCTTTCTAAATTTGCTCAATACTTTCGGCTCAAGAAGTTCTCCACAATAATATAGTAGTTTCAATAAATAAAGTGATTTAGTAACAGAATAACTACGTAAAAAGCTGAATAAGCGAAAATTTTTCATCACTACATTTGAAAATATTTGAATAATTTATTATCAAATGGCTAATTGATAAAGATGGTTAACGATTGATAACAATTATAGAAAATATTTGCAATATGAAAAGAATCTCTTTCGAGCCTAGAAAATTCAATATGATGAAAAATATGCACAAAATTCAAATACTGAAACTAATGAACTCAGAAATGAATTTAGCCTTAAAAATATGTCTGAATTCAAGCAAAATTTTCTACAACATATTTTCTATAATTTAAGAAATATTTTTAAAAAAATAAACAAATATATGTCAAAGAAAAGAAACAAAAAATTCGATTTCTCTGAACTGAAAATTTCGAAAATTCCCTTCTTTAAATAATTCGATTGCACTTACGGAAAGAAAAATTACTTTAATAACTTTAAAAAACAGCTTTTTTTCAGAAATTTTTAGCCATCACCTTTCAGCGAATTTAGCATAACGGCTTGGCTTTAAATAAGATTTAATACAATCGAGTATTCAAATATAAATTTTTTTTAAGGGAAATATTGTCGGCAAAAATGAAGATTAATTTGTTGATATTTTCACATTTGCTTTCATACAATTTCCCAAATTTAAATCAAAAATATGGATTCCAAATTTCAAATTTGAATTTACAATTGAGTAAAATTGTGTGAATTCGTTGTTATTTATAAGTTATGCCATTTATTTCTTTATTAACAATGTTTCACTAATCTTCCCAAATAAAAAAGCAAATATTTTTGGACAAAATATCCAAATTTCCAAATATCCCTTCCCAGTGTGAAAAAATGATCATAAAGATCACAGTTGCGGTGTTTCTACGAACCGGATTCCATTCTTTTTGTTTATCGAAGAAATTCGATTAATCAAAAATATAAAATTTCTATTATTTCTGTCATTCTTAAAAACCTTTGCAAATAAGAAAAAACTGGAATCATTCAAAAATCAATGAATCAATCTGAATTTTAAAAAAAATTTCTGACTTCGTTTGTCGCTAAATAAACAAAGCTAATTAAATTAGGAAAATATTCTCGCTTTCAAAATTTTTCTGGAAATTTTGCAAAATAATAAAAAATATCAGTGAAGGGATGAAGAGAGGAATTTTTTTCTAGCTCGTTCAATATTTCTGGTTAAACTTCGCTGCGCTGCCTTGCCGGACAAATTATCAGGGAAACACATGGCAATGGAAGTAAAGATGAATATCAGCATCGTTTATATTTTTGCAAGACTTTGAAAATATACTCTTATTGATAGCTGAATTTCAGTATTGCCACTCATCTTAGCTAAAGAAATTTATTAATAGAGCTAATTAATAAAAATAAAAAAAATATTTTTTATGAAATTTATACAATGCAAGGTAGCAATAGGAGCAGTTGGGTGAATGCTGCGGCATCCATCCCAAAGTGATTAAACAACCCGACAAAGAAAATTGTAAGTGATGTTAATAGAAGATGGTTAGAAGCAGAATTTAGCAATAAATACAAACTATATTGCTAAATTACAATTAGCAGTAAATTCACTTAAATAATACCTGAAAAAATAAGGAACGAAGTTAAAAAACAAAGCTAGAAAATAAATTTCTTTACAAACCGGTTTCTGATCTCAGCAAGATCATCACGGAGTCTTGCAACACGGACATCGATTTCTGCCTTCCGGCGAGCGCCATCATCAATCTCCTTACGAGCATCTCGCAACGAATCCGAATATTGTATCTGTATTACGTGATCTGTATTGCTCAACACGGCTACTTTTTTTCAGTGAACCCAATAACAATGAAAAAGAATTAAGCAGATAGTCTTAATAAAATTTAAATCTTATTTAGTGCTTCAGTGTTTTGTAAGAAGTGAAGAAATTCCTCGTGATTTTTCTTCTACTTCTATTGATAAAATAAATTTTTACTCATTTCAGTAGAAAATAGCTACGTTAAAAGTCAAATGAATGGCTAATTTATTATTTACGCATCATAAATCAACAACGCCATCTTCGTCGCTATTTATTTGTACAATACTTATTTGCTTTATTTTTCAAGATTTTTTCAAATTTTGGTTTTTCAGCGCCCAGAAAAAGAATTATTTTCGAAATCAATTTAAGCATTTAACAATTAAGTAGATTATTTTAAATCATCAGACCATCGAACAGCAAACCAAAGTTAGTGAATTGAATGTCACCAATTTTATTAGAATTTGCTTAATAGAGCACTGATGGAAATTTAAGCGCGCCAGGTTTGCAGTTTCTCAAAGAATTTCTCTTTTTGTTTCTGTAAATTTCTGGAATTCGGAGGTTTTATAATAAATATATTCCAAATTCTAAATTAATAAAAAATAAAGATAAAATACTTTAATTTCACTAGTATCTTTGCCCCATCTACCACGAAGTTCATCGAGATCAGCGACTAGTTTGCGATTCTGTTCCTCCAGCTTTTTAACTCGATCGATATAATTTCCGAGACGATCATTCAAACCTTGCATCTCCTTTTTTTCTTTATCTGTAGCTTCTAAAAACGATTTTGCAGCATTCGCACTTAAAGCTGGACTAATGCCACCGATTGAGGCTGACCCCATCTCCGTCACCATCTTGAGCACTCGTCCTAAAAATTTATTTCATAGTTTCTGCTCATAAGCTATCTTTTAAAATTTAAAATTAAGCTTATTTTAATGCAAAAATTCTTTCTTTAAAGAAAATCAGTATACTCAGCAACAATCGTTCAAAATATTCCAAAAGTGAATCTAACTAACTTTTCGTGCAATCAGTCATCTAATCAGGAAAATAAACTGACTAACTGAAGATTTTTTTTTGCTCACCTCAGCTTAAATATTTCATTTTATATTCATTATTATTGCTAAATGCTATATTTACTTTACACACATTCCTAAATCAATCAACTGAAACTGAAACTGCTTGACCTAATCTCTTATGCACTGATGCTAATCTGATTAATTTTGTGCACTTAAAATTCGCCATAAATTTTCGACTTTCTCCATATTTCAAAAAATTGGATTTGTAAATATTTTTCTTACAAGTAATAGTCTCACTTCATTTCATTTAAGGACCTTAGTTATACAATAATTTTGTAAAGAATTTACCTCCACCTATATTTGTTGACCTCATTTTATCGGAGGAATACATCCTTTGAAGAATTAATACAGTTCAAATAGAAAACAGGCAGACGAAAAGCACCAGTTAGAGCAATCAGTCAGCAGGGAAACAACTGGAAGATGAAAGGAATTCAAAACGAAGTTCCGGTATGTGTCAGGCTTGACTGATATCCCACTACAATAGTCAATAGAATGAAGGAACGCACACAATTTACGAAATTTCAACAAATATCCACGACTAATAAAACAACAATAACAGCGAATAGTAGTGAATAAGATTATCAGACAACGGATTTATATTCAATAAATTTCCAATGAAAACGAGACGAACGACAGCAAAGTTACAGTTTTCAAGCGTTACAAAGTAATGAATCTCTCACTAAATTTGTACTAATGACTGGGCGTGGTTGCTCTTATTTTTGCATTGAATTCCATAATCGTCCTTTTTGAAAAATTTCTATATTTGAAGTTAAAAACTTGGTTCATATGAATTCTCTGTTCCATATAAAAATCCAATAATTAGGCAATTATAGTGGGAAATCCATTTTTCGTTAGACTTGCTCTGTTTTTTCGGATCAGATAAGCACAGGACCACGACCACTTGCCACAGGACCACTTGACGAGAAAAGAACTCAATTGGCGCTATGAAATGGAAGCAACAACCCACGAAACCAATCGAATCCTAGTGAAAATTCCATGAAAAAAAGCAAACAGTTTTCAGTTGTTTGATTACTGACGCTAATACTTAACGTTTTTGTTAAAAAAAAAACTATAAAATAAAAACTAAAAAAAACTATTCCGAATTATTTTAGTGAAATATTAAAAAGCTTTATTGATGACGAAGAGGGAAAAATTTTATTCTCTTTATGAAACAGGTTCTTGCAATAAAATTTTTAATAGAAAGATTATGCTTAGTTATTGCGATACGGTACGAGTCTATAAAGGCGATTAAACGCATTCAGTTTCCTTCGAAGTTAAGCTGTAAATATTTTCCAGAATTATTTCCATATGATCTTCACTATACAACTGACGAATTTCTAGAAATCATGCATTGCTTGTTATCATCTTATACGTTTTATTCAATCATTAAGCAATCCAAATATTTTCTTCAAACGACGATTTCTGTGCTACTTCTATTAATGCAAATAATTTTAATTAATTACTGATTTACCTCCATTAAGGAAAAAACGAATTTGGAAAAGCTTGAACTCAGCTGAGGATGATTTATTATAATATAGAAGAGCCTATAATATAGTAAACAATATCAACAAACAAGAGAAAACCAGCCTAGAAGAAATAAATAATGGTGAATAATTTCTTTTTTTTTCGTCAGTGCAAGAGCTGAATATTAATAATTCTACATCAAGAATAAGAGCCTTAGACATTAGAGGTTGGATAACCGGTTACTCAGGATTGATTTTTCAAAAAACAGGAATTCTGATGCATCAATTTATGGAAAATTGCTAATTAAGTCAATAAAAATAAAAATAGCTATTCATAACTAGTTGAATATAACATTTACACGAAAAAAATTCTCCAAATTAAAAAATCAAAAAATATTGGCCCACATTTAAATCTGGATGAAAGCGAGAAAAAAATAGTAATCCTATATAATTTTCCAAGTTTTTCATTATTTTGCTGGTTATTTTTTTTAGTTTTTTTCTACTTGAGAATTTTAATTATATGCAATTTAATTTTATGAATTGAGTCATAAATTATAAATCATATTAATAAACCATATACTGATTAATAAAAATAAAATATTAAACCTCCACCACCACCGACAGTTCCGGTTGCATAAGTACCAGATTGACGGCTTTGTGTACGTACCGCTGTTCTCGGTTGAATCGTTGAGCGATACGCAATTTCATAATCGCTATCAGTGCTATGCTTTGACATTTTGTCAAGAAAATTCGATTCTTATAAAATAATTATGAAGCAAGTAGAAGATAACGAAGAGCTGGAGCTGAAAAAATCTCTTATTTAGTTATTCATCGATGTGAAAATCTTTTAGAATCGCTCGAAATTTACAGTTATGGGAATGTATTATCCGCTGTAAAAATATATCATAAAATATATGGCAAACAAAATAGTAATAAAATTCCTTGACGAACTATAAAAATTTTTATTTAAACTTTTTCCCCATTTTGGAATTTATAATTTCAATTATAAATTATATTGAATCATTGAAAATTGATTACAATCAGCGACAGTAATTCGCTGAAAAATTAATTAAACTGCAACTTTTTGATTTAAATTCAAATTGATATTATATTTGCTTTATTTTTATAAAATACGATTTTTTTACATGAAATAAATGAAATAAACGAGTGGAATGCAACATAATTGAGATAATCTCAGAAGTAAGCCTATCATTCCGAATGATGTTCATTGGCGATCCATCTGTGATTCTATCGTGGAATTATTTCATGGCGAAAGTTTTCCACCTTTCCACCACGCGAAGGGTCAGTGGGATAAGTCTAACCAGAAATTATGAGTCCTAACCATTCTTTTAACTTAGCTTGGGTAAATAAAGAAACTAAATGGAGGAAAAACAAAAAACTGCAAGGAATGAGAAAATCTTTCCTAAGAAAGTGAGCTGAAAATTCACGTTTCCCATTTCAGATTTAAAAACAATTTTAAAGTAAAACTGAAGGCGAATCAGTTCTCTTCCTTTTTCCGAGAATATTTTCATTGAACTTAGGCATCGAACTGTCATCTCAAGAAACGATTGTAATTAATTAAGAATAGAAACAATAATTTATCGATGTCTGTCGCATTTATCGACAAAGTTGAGTGTCAAGGTAATTTCCAAAAAGCTTATAAATAATAAAATCAAATTTAGTTAAAAACTAGGTAAAAATATTTCCTTATGATTGTCGACATCCAAACATCACCAATAAAATTCTAATTAATCACCGTATGGAACCAAAATATTTGACTCACCGCTGCATATTCGCAAAAATTTACAGATTGAACACAACTGTTCCGATGTATTTCGAATACAAAAAAAAAGATAAAATCACAGCAAAAGACAGCCTACAGTAATTAAATTCCTCAAAAACAATTTGAGATGGTGAAAAATGAATCATTGTTGATAAAAGATTTGTGAATTTGTAAATTCGTGAAGTAAAGTTTAAATTTTTCTCGGTTTAGCGAAACAAAACTAGTTTTACCACTGAAAAAATTAATTAAAAAGTGCAAGAAAATTTAAATTTACTTAGTAATCTTGAAACTTATCGACTTCTTGTGTAAAAATTCGAAATTTTTTCCATAAATTTTTATCAAATATTATAAGATGAAAATTTTAAAATTCATAACTATCGGATTTTTAAGGATTTTTTTACATTTAAATTAAATTAAGTTAAATTAAATTAAGATGTAAAGAAATAGTTATAGTTAGTCACTTATATATTAAATAAATACCCTAAAAATACAAACTTTTTCCTTTCAAGGTCACACATACCTTTCTCGATTAAAAAGGTCATCTCGGTACAGAATTTATTTACTAATTCATTTTGTTCTTTTAACCACAATTATTACTGAATTATTTTAGCACTAATTAATTTGTTAATTTTTTCCAAAAATTTTGGGTCTTACAGACTCAGAAAAAAAATTAGCATAAACCCTAAATTTTGTTGCTTTACTTGAAAGATTCGCTCATTAGTCTGTATTATCAATATTAGTCGCGACGAATAGGAGATAAACCAGCGAAGTAAGCAAAAAAGAAAATTGACACTCTTTCATCCTCGAATGACGACTCTTCGATTAAAGGGTCTGCGGGGGGATTGCTTTAATAGCCAATTGCACTAGCCATGATAAGTGCTGTGCTGTTAGTAGTACGTAGAAAACAGGAAACCAACAGGAAACTTGCTTAATTTTCTTACGCTTACTGGTTATTAGGATAATAGAACTTCACCAAAGAATCATTTGGTTATCGATATACCACCACCTAGGTTTGGTTTTTAAATAACAAGTTTACTCTTTCCAAAATTGAAGATCAAAGCATCACTCCGCCACATTACACATTCATTTAATATTTGTGCATTAGTATATACTAAAATTTAAAAAAAAGGGGCCTTAAGCAAAATAGAAACGTAAATTAGATTGAAAAAAGCCCATAAGATAGCAGTAAAGATATTTAAAAAATTTTATATGGCTTGTATGAAAAGCCATATAAAATTTTAACTACTGGCGCCTTATATAAAAATTTTTTGCTTTGATTTTCTCATCGCAATGTTACGAAGATTCACGAATTGAAAAAAAATTTTCCAAATCTACCGAAAACAGAACTCGAAAATGATTCACAAATCGAAATTTTCAAAATCAAAATTTCATTATGGAATATGTCGAAAAGATTTTTATCATAAAAAGAATTTATGCTTTAAAAATTTAAAATTTAAATTTAAATTCAAGAAATTCCTAGCATTTAGTAAGGTAGACCAATTCGCGGTGAATATCCTCGAGTGACTCTCTAGTGAAAGAATCTTTTCTAGTAACTAATAGATCCAACCGAAGAAGAAAAGCAATGGAAGGAAGGAAAAAAATACTGCAAATAGCTATAATAGATATGCAGAAATAAGATCTTTCTTTTCATAGTTAACTCATTTTGGAAAACATTTTCAACTAAAATATTTAGATGCATGAGTTTAATATTTATATAAAAATATAAATATTTTGTCGATTGGGTTGAACTGAAGCAGAAGAAAAAGCTATATCGCGTCCGAAGATGAAAATACTTGGGATTATAAACTCTGACCTGGAATACAATTCCTTGAACCGTGTTTGTCAGAAGACTAAAGAACTTATATGAAGCAACTTAAGAAAGGCGATAACTACTATACATTCTGATCCATTCATAAAAAATCAACAAAAAACTTTGGAATGAAATGATAATTTCAAAAATAAAACCACTATAAAAGGAAATCTTTTTTTCCTTTTTCCTTGAATACCTCGTTTGGCTTGGCCCACTCGTTATTACAGTGAGACCCTTTTGCCATGGAGTCACTTAGCAGAGAATTAGGTCACCAACATTGCCGCAAATCAGCTTATATGAGCTACTAAGAAAGACAGATTATTATAAAATTTACACCAATCTTCACACACCACAAAAGACTTTAGTAAACTAATTTTATAAAATCATATAAATGAATAGAAGGCGGATTGGAACAATACGATTTTTTGATTAAAATAAAACAAAAATGACTAATATGATCAACATCAATCGTCTGCATGTGGCTAGAAAAAATCAAAACTAATCATTCGCCGATAAATTTTTTTTCATAAAATTTAATCGTCTGATGAGAAGACAAATGAAAATTTGAACGGTATTGTGTGTATTGTGCCCAGTTACTATTTAAACTTAGCTTATAAGATTGGATTAATTCCAGCTGAAACAAAAATTTGGGGCGAGCTAAAATGTATGGAAAAATTTTAAGTTTTCTGCCTAGAAAAGAAAAACGCTAAAAAGATAGTTGCTCGGATTATCGTTAAAAGATAAGGGTTCTATAAACGACAGAAATAAGATTGTCATTAAAAAATCGTGAGTGCTGGCCATTTTATATTGCTATCTCCAAGTGATTCTTAATAAAAATTTTTAACAGTACTAACAACCAGAGCATCGAGTTTAAAAATAAGTAGCGAACGTTGACACTTAATTTTTACTTAATTTTTCATCTAAAGAATTATTTCAATAGAATTTATAACCATTGCCGAACATCACCATTTCTCGTTAGCCTGATTCCACTGACTTTTAAGAAAGAGATTTTTTCGTCACAGGACAAAGGAGAGGTGTAGAAGTACCACTAGCAGTGGCCAGATTCTTCTAGAATCAGATAAATGAGTAATCATAATTCACATATTGATACAACTCGTCGAAAACATCAATTGCACTACCCTTTATCATATTCTTTTTATCAGATGCAATATGGATATTGAACACTTCTGGTTTATAAATTATAGTGTGATATTAGATGCATTAAAATTTAAAAGTATATGAGGTAGAATTAGAAGCTAAATATTATCTTCATCATATATAAAGATTCTAACTCTCCATTCCTAGTTTGGTTCGCTTCATTGGCTATTTAGGATGCCCCTTCACTCGGGGATAGAATTACAAATGGGTCACCTGGGTCTCTACTTGAATTTTATTTTTAATGATAGGTTTAATAACAATGGAAAGGAACAGGAATCCTATAAAATCGACTTCTAATAATAATAATAATTTGTTCGATCATTTCGTCCAATAAAAATGCATAACTCTCGGAAATCTATCTATTCTGTTACTTATAGGGTAAATAGTAAATTGATTTGTCGTTGGCACTGTTTAAATCAGCAATGAACAAAAGACATGCGCTCGGTCTCCAAATTTTTTCGCGACATTCATAACTTTTGCCCACAAAACAATTTATTTATCAGTTATCATTAAGCCTTTTTGATGATAAAAATTTTTATCTCATCATAATCTATTAATAGATAAAAATTTAGCTGCAAAATCAATTTGAAAAAATATTTCCAATAATCAAAAAACAAAATTATTGTTTTTAATTCTCATGGCCTTCGCAAAAATTATTTGACATTCACAACTAAAAATTTTGCCCACCACTGATCTAAATAAATTATTGTAATATATATGAACGGCTTAAAATTCCGAAAAATATCGATCGTTGTTCGTTTTTATATCGCATTATCGAAAATTTGTGGAAAAATTCTTCATTTTGTACGAAAATTTTAGCGAATAAATTTCAAAGAAGCATTAAAATTTTAAAAATACTAAAATACAATTGTTTTTCCGACAAAACTTTTACGATATAATTCTTTCTTTTCCATTCCAATTGTTAAGAAAAAATGACTATGAAACAATACGATAAGAAAATTTTTATAGCTTTGTTGCGGAGGTT